GGGGGGGGGGGGGGGGGCGAGGGGGACTTGGCCAGTTGCTCTTCTCCGGTCCCGCCTCCCTCACAGGTTTTGGGGAAGGGAACGAAGAGCAGAATGCGCACATCTGGGGTCTGGAGCCTTAGAGAAAGGAAGTGTGTGCGTGTGCGTGTGCGTGTAGGGTTTTGTGGGGGGGGGGGGTTGTGTGTGTGTGTGTGTGTATACCCTGCACCAATCCACACACAGCGAAGGAAAGACAGGACACGCAGGGAAAAAAGCGAACTGGATAAAACCACGAAGGTGGAGGGCCTTTCGCTGACCCCAAAGCTGGGAAGGAGGAGAAACCCGAGGGAGAGGAGGGGGCGCTGGAGTATTATGGGCTGCAAGCACTCCTACCCTCTGGGGTGCAAGGAGAGAACAGGGATCCCACTGCGCAGGCACGGCGGCGGGCGAGGCGGTCACCCCCAGCCAGATTTCCGCAAGAGCCCGGCCGCGAAGGGAGCGGGGAGCCCAGCAGCTGGACCCACCTGACCGGCCTCCGGCGCGGCGCTCACCTGGACGCGCTCGCTGGAGGCTCTAATTTGCCTCGCCGGGCCCGCCCCGCGGCGGTCATCTGCATACTCGGCCCCGCCCCCACAGGTATCGTCGCGGGGAGGGAAGGGAGACCTGGGGCGGGCGCAGAGGCGGCGTGCGACCTTTCCCTCCGTTTCCCGCGCGCGCGTTACGGCCGCCGCGTGCGACAAGGACGCGCCCGTCCCCGTGGCGCGACCCATCGGGCAGCAGCCCATCGGCGCTGGGGGAGGAAGGAATGGGCGGGGATAGACTGCGAGAGCAAGCGCATGCGCGTTTCGGGGGGGCACGCGGCCGGCCACGAGGGCGACGGCAACCCTTTGCGGGTCGAGTTGCAGCAGCCCGGCGGGAGCTGCGCAAGTTAATCGGCGCTGGGGGAGAAAGGAATGGGCGGGGATAGACTGCGAGAGCAAGCGCATGCGCGTTTCGGGGGTGCACGCGGCCGGCCACGAGGGCGACGGCAACCCTTTGCGGGTCGAGTTGCAGCAGCCCGGCGGGAGCTGCGCAAGTTCCAAGCTACTTTTCGACCCCCGCAGGAAAAGTGTATCAAATGCAACGCACGTGCCTGATCAGCTGGCAGGGAACCGGAGCCAAATTTTGTCTGGCGTGCTGCCAAGAAGGGGCAGAAAGCGTTATTGCCGCTTGTTCCTTTTGCGCTGATTTTACGTATCTTACTTGAAGCAACCCCATGAATCGTTGACCTCGCCCTGAGGCTGTATTTGCAGGGGCAGCTGGGAGCCACGCCGGAGGACAGCTTGACCGTCCCAAGCATTTTGGAAATCCGAAGCAGCAAGAGGGGGTGGAGGAGAGCCAATTTGGGTTAGTGGGCGAGGTGCTGGACTAGGAACAGGGAGACCCGAATTCTGGTCCCGCTTTAGGCACAAAGCCAGCTGGGGGACCCTGCGCCAGTCGCTCCCTCTCAGCCCTGGGAAGAAGTGGCAAACCTCAGCAGTTGCGATAGGTGGCAAGAAAACTAGTCGCCCAGAGTCAAGACGGGATTCAGGGCCGCCCACTGCGCAGAAGGGTGGGCGTACCAGGAAGGTAACCAGCAGCCCAGTCAAAAGGTTGCGGCAAAGACCAGCAACAGGACCTGAGCAGCCAGGGATGGAGTCGTTGCCCGCTGAGCTTTAAAGATGGGCTGAAGAAGACAATCTGCGGCTGGGGGTGTCCGGCCTCGTGCTCCTAGCTCCTCTGAATCCATCCGTCTGGATGGTGGGTGCTGGGCAGCCAAGCAGGGAAGAAGGGCTGGTGCTGAGCTTCCTGGTCAGTCGCTGTGTGACCCAGAACCCTGGACCGGATGGACCGTTGGCCTGATCCAGCTTCGGGTGCTTCTCTTCTGCAGCTGATGGAGGGTGGAGGGGACCCCGGAGCACAGTCAAGGTGGGGAAGGGAAAGGTTCCTGTTGCCGAGCTCCTCTGCAGCTGCCCAGGCTCCTCTTGGGTCCGCTGGCAAGAATGCAAGAAGCTCGCCCAGCACCCTCCGACCTTGATTGGCCCTTGGCCTGTTGTTGTAGGTAAAGGCTGGCATATGTTAATGAAGTTGATCTGTAAGCGGCAGTTCCTACGTCCCCGTTTAGCCTTGAGGCTAAGGAGCCAATGTCATGTTCGCTCCAGGATGTTGAATCTTTTCCCTCCAGCTATATTTCCATTTCTTTCTTTGCCAGCTCATTGGCCGTGGGAATGATGCTTTCTGGTGGGATTGAGAACTATAAGGGGAATTCAGTTTATGTACAGCAATACCCACTGGCTGTAGGAAGAAACCTGCCTGAAATCATAGCATTCTGGAGTTGGAAGGAAGGAAAGGCATCCCAAGGATCATCTAACCCAGTGTTTCTATCTCTGCAACTTTAAGATGTGTGGACTTCAACACCCAGAATTCCCCAGGCAGGCTAGGGAATTCTGGGAGTTGAAGTCCACACATCCTAAAGTTGCGGAGACTGAGAAATGCTGACCTAGTCCAACCCTCTGCAAAGTGCAGGGAAGCCAATTAAAGTATCCTCAACTGATGGCTGTCCAGCCTCTTTTTAGAAACCTGCAGAGGTGGAGAACCCACCCTCTTTCAAAGTAGACTGTTCCTCTGTTGTTCTGCCTGAATGTGAATGAAATCTACATAGTTGCTACTTGTATCCATTGTTTCTGGTCCTAGCCTCTGTGGCTATGGAAAAAAAGTCCCCAGCCATCTTCCCTGTGGTGTTCCAGACTTGGCTATCACATCTTTCCTCCACCATCTTTTCTCCAGGCTGAACATCCCCAATTCCTCTGCCTGTCCTAAGGCAAACCCTCAAGTCCATGGGTTTAGAATCTGTCTCTCTCTTAAGGACCAAAATACCCCCCCCAACCCCAAATACCCCCCACACACACACACACACACCACACTGCAGGTCTTGCTTCCCTGCTCCAAAATTGATTTAGGCCCTCAGGGCCAAAACTGTATAATCCAACCAAGCTTTACTGCCAAAACAGCTGATCAGTTAGACTGATCCAGCCTTCTAAATGCTATTACAAAAGGGTGTTTTGATAAAGCTGTGACTGAAGCACCCCCTCAAAACAAATCCCAAAGTACAGCCCCCTCCCCTTGCTGCTCCTGATCTGAGGAGACCTATCAGCCATTCCTTCAGAGCAGCCTGGCATTGTCCCCACCTCGCAGAGCAGAGCACAGCATCAAGGCCAGGGCCGCAGGGCCAAGGAAGAGCATATTTCACCCACCCTGATATCAAATGCCTCCCCCAAGACATCTATCCTCTCCTGCAACCAGTATCAGTCAAGATTTTGTAGTCTGGGGTGTCAGTAACAGAGAACTGATCCCCCTGGTCAGTCAGTAAGGTGAGGCGGATCAGCAAGTCCTTCAGAAATGAAGAACACAAAGAGCAAAGTACTGAGATAGCCACCAAGCGCCATTAACTAGCCTTGAAATCCAGCAGGACTCAGGTGGGTCATTATGGAAAGGCAGCAGAGGAAAACACAGCAAAAACCATAAAACCTGCAGACTTTTTTATTAAATTCTCCCATTTCATCTGTACAGAAAAATGCACATTATGTTCAGTATTTCAGTTAACAATTCAAAATTACACAGCATGAACATGTAAAAACAAAGAATGGCCAAGAATTTGTACATAGATAAGAAAAACAATTTACAAAAAAATCATCTTAATATTACATTTTTAAAAAGAACCAAGGTCAGCCAACATTTGTTGTTTTTTATCATTTACTGTCTCTCCAATGGCTGCTTTTCAAAGCTGCAAGAAGGGCACTGAACATAACCCTGCTATGCCATTCCAAGTTTTTCTGTGCATGCATGGTGTTCGTTTCAAATCCGAAACATATCACTCTTGGACAATCTGCAATAAAAAAATCAAAATTATAAGCACCAAGCTTTAATTGGTTCTGTGCCATCTTGCAAGGAAAATGCCTCTCGGTGCCTCTTCAGAAAACTCGATATCTTTCCACCAGTCATGGAACCACAGGGTGGGGAGGACTGCAACTCTGAGGCAGAGGAAGCAATGCAAGCCTCACAGACTGCCCAATTTTTGCAGTCGCTGCTGGCTCAAAAGGTTGGCAGTTTCATCACAAACAGTGATAACGCTTGGTCCAAAACGTAAGTTCACTAGATAGCACCACCTCTTGCAGAAGGTATTTCCTTCTGTCCCCCCTCAGCCTCCTAGCATGGTGCTACTGGCGCCCTTTGCTGCGCATGAACGTTCTCACACTGAGACAAGGGGAGCCCTTTATCTGATGCTGCTTTCTTCCAGTTCCAAGTTCTTTTTCTCAGGTACAGCGGAGCCACCACTAAGAGAAAGGAAGGCCCTGCATCCTCACCAAACAGGCGCAGGGACCCTCCTCTACCAATCTGCAAAGCTTCCTACCCAGTGGATTCTGCCTGACATAAGGGACCCTTCTCTTCCTCTGAAGGTGGCGGCTCGAATGCAAGGACCACACTGTGGCTCCTTGTGTAACAGGGCGATAAAGGGAAAATGGGTGTGGAAAGCACGCACCACAACTGTAGTTAGAGATTGTATATGGAAGCAGCAGATGGAGAGAGGCTTCTGGGTCCCAGCTAAGAAGGATTTTAAAACATTCGAACTGCAGCCTGGCAAAACTTCGTGTTGCCTTCTCCACCCTCCTCAAGCAGCACAGCCTGGATGGAAATGGAGCCTGGTATCTCCTGTCCTCTGTACTGATCAGCCCCTGGGGTTGAAAAATGAAGCAGAAGAGGCAGCCTGGGAGCCTCACTGCTGAAATTCCTGGGATGGGGGGCATGGGAACCGCAGCCCTTAAATGTTGGAGGCTGTCCTCCATCTCTTCAGAGCAGTGGGCCTCTTAAACCATGGGGCAGATTAGATGGACTATCTTGGTGTAACTGCTTATGAGCCCTCTTTTCAGACAGCCAGTCAGCCAATACAGGGTTCTGTCCTGTCTTCTTCCTCTGCAGAAGCATCATTCACTATCCTCAACATAAGCCAAACAGTGGGAAATGCAGGAAAAGGCAACTACAGCTAGCTAAAGGAGAGCCAGAAAAGGTGTGTGTGTGTGTGTGTGTGTGTGTGTGTGTATTTCTAAGACACAGTAGCCAAAACGACTGGGGGGCCAGGGACTTTCCTCTTCATCAGCAACTGCTGCAAGATGAACTTCACTTGGTGAAGTTCAACAGCCAATACAAACCCAAGTTTCTTGCCAGAATCCTGCACATTCTGAATGAGACCTGCCTGGACTATTCCTTGACTCCCATCAACAGTTTAAACATTTTAAGCACTCTGTAGTCCATATTCCACAGCCAGACTCTCCACAGGGCTAAAAGTCCTCTGGGCCCAATCATTTGCACTGCCTTTTCCCCTACTGCTGTTCTCAATCCTGGACTATTGCATATCCAATTATGTGCCAGAATCACCAAACTCAAAGTCATGGCTAGTGTCTTTAGGAGAAAGATTTCTGCTTCAGATAAATCACCATCTGACAAAATACTGGAGTTGCCTTTAGATCCTGCAGAGGAGAAAGACACTACGCTCCGCAACATTCACTGGGTTCTCATATCGTGTTTTTTTCTGGTCCCACTTTTGGAAGATCCATAGGGAACACCAAGAGATGCAGAGGGACTGTATTCCTGTCCCATTTCCTTTCAAAAAGAATCATCATCCAAGGAACCCTTCAGGATATCAAGAGCAGCTCTTGAGGCCTGACAGAATCAGTAGTCATTTAAAAAATAAACGCACAAGCTTTTCCAAACTGCTGTCTCTAGGGAAACAAAACTAGATACCACATCACTTACTTTTCAATATGAAGTTTCCTAAAGTTAATTTTTTAAAATACCATTCACCAACACATCAGAGCAGCAGAAAATATTCACAGTACTGTTACAAATGACAGCTTGCCCAAACACTCTGATCACCTGGTCCCTTTACAGAAAGACCCTCCACTTTGGGGAAGTTAATGCAGAAAAACTAGAAAGGTCGCATCTGCCTAGCAAGTGCAACTACTGTATAAGCTGGAGCATGCCAGGGAAATGGAGAGGGGTGTGCAATTAAGCTTTGCACTGGCCAGAACACCCAAATGCATGATTCAGCCCCAGCACACGCAGGCAGACCTATGGCTGACAGGTTAAAAGACTGCCTAGTGTGCCAACGAATGAGCACGTGCCGTTTCTTCTGCTCCCCAATCAGGCCAAGGGTAGTATCCGTGTTCAGACCAGAAGGGCTGTTAGAAGTGCTGCTTCAGGAAAGTTACCACTTCCTTTCAAATAACAGAAAAACGCAGCCCCCCCCCCCTTCCCCATTCTTGCTTAGGGACAGAGTCCACGAGGTGCTGCCTTCCCACTTCTCAAGCCTGACAATCTTTTCAACTTGATCCTGGGGAGTAGGAAGGCCTCACCCCTGTGATTAATGCTGGACCTGCGTATCAGGGAGAGGGTCACTTGCCAATAATCACCCCAGCGATGCCCATCCTCTTTCAGGTGCCAAAATCTTCCTGATAACTTTCTGGGGTACCCACTTGCTCCCCAACTTCACACCTCCACCTGCCTCATCTAACGGCTTCCACTGGGATAGGCTATAGCTTTGCAAGGGGAACCTGTAAAATCACTGGAGTTTGTTTCTTCTGGTCGATATTTTATTAATCCCAAAGACAGTGGAGAAAATGAAAGGCATTGCCTTTTGGCAGAAACTGAGGAACAAACCAGTAAGCAAAGAAAAGAAAAAAGAAAAAACACACACAAACAGAATCTTGTAACAAAAGGAGGATACTGGAAGAGATGATGACCTCTGGAGACCATTTTGCTGACAGATTATGAGCTGAAGATGCTGGTTCATTGGCAAACTAGATGTCCAAACCAGGGTCGGTTGTGAGCGGCGGGTGACGTCCCATCCTTTCAAGTCCTGCCTAGCCTCAGAGCACAAACATTTCCTCACCAAGACACACTGCCCAAACTATGCCAGGAACAGATCTTTAAAATGTTTACTTTAAAAACCTCTTGGGCTGCAGTCTGTCAGTCTGGTTTGGAGTGTGTGAAGGTAGTTCAACAGTACAAGGAAAAGAAAAAGAAAGAGCTTTGTCTACAGGCAGGCAAACAACAGTCGCTAACGATGGGGTAACAAAGCTGCTGGACAAGATGGGAAACCCAGCTGACACGAGCTGCTGCTGCTGTTCTAATTGGCTTGTACTCTCTGAAGAGGAGCGAGGTGGGGAGGGAGACTATACAGAGAAGACTGTACAAACTGGGCAACGGGCGCAGGCCTTCCTTCTTCCCTCCGATGACCAAGGTAGTCTCTACCTGTCCTTCAGTTCTCGTGTCACTCGCTTAGTGATACGCCCACACATCAGACCAATCAGGAACAGGACACAGATGCCTGCACTGATCACCGAAAGGATGTAGTTCTTGGATGGAGATGTCACCACTTGCATGGCAAGATCAGAAAAGCCTTCTGCGGGGGCAACCTGGAGAGGAAAAGGATCGATCAGCTGCCAAACCAAGGGAAAGAGAAACCACCCCAGTCAAGACGTTTCACCAGACGGGTGGACTTTGGTTGCCAAGGCAGGAGACAGACAATATGCTGTTCTAATAAAACCATGCCGATAAAGGGCTGATTCCACCTGAGCAAATTCTGCAGCAATCTCCTCTCACGTATCAGTCCAGCTAGAATGCAATCAAATTCTCAACAACCATGAAGCTCACATCCAGAGAATTAGAACATGCCCAAATAAATTTTGGAGACACCCAGTTTTCTCTGGGAAATGTTTACTGCACCCTTCTTAAGACTGGCCAGAAGTCTATGAAAGAAACCACATTTTAAGGATATTTGGGGTATTTCAAACTCCGGATGAGCCATCCAGAGCTCCGCACAAGGCAACACCATCACCCATACACACATTCACACACAGAGAAGCAAATATTCAGGTAGGCATGTACACCCAGTGTTTGCCCACAGAATCTGGCACTTATGCACCCAAGACCTTTCACCTGTTTCAATCTTTGGTGAATAATCTGCACCGGGAACTAACTAACTAACTAACTAACTAACTAACTAACTAACTCTCTCTCTCTCACCTCCCTTGTCATGAGCTCCAAGCATGCAAATGACTCTTCTATTCACACTTAAGAAATAAGTAAGTGCCACCCCACTCACCTTTGCAGCAAAGCTCCACATTTCGATTCGGTCATTAAGGCGTTTTTTGCATTCTGGCTGTAACCGTACCCGCTTGTCCTCCAGGGCCTCCATAAGGCAGGACATCTCTGCAGAATGAAGGAAACGCTATCATAAAAGACAGGCTCCCTTGAAGGGGCCAGGGAAGTACCTGCCGTATGTGCAAACCACAAATATGACACAATACCAGCAGGGAGGCTCCCCCTAGTGCACGATGCAGGTATCTTCCCAGCCAACTGGTTTCCCCCCCAACCCCCCCCAAACATTTTGCAGATAATTTGAAAATATAATATCTGCAATTTGAAATTTTTCCCCCACCAAAACACTGAGAAGGAGGTAAAAAAACGTCCACCTTGTAAGCCTGTTTTCTCCCCTAGTCTCTCTCCACCAATAGCATGGTATTCATAGTGCGAAGCACCCACGTTTGTAAGCAGCCACAATCCGGGGTGAACTGACTCTGTGGTCAGAACAGCCTTGCAGTCTCAGTGCTCCCCAGACGGCTCAGTTAATGCAAGACTTACGCCGGCCTCTTCCTGGAGGAATGGCAGCACAATGGTGCTTGATGTCAAGGGCACAGGCTGTGTGAAGGACAGGATCCACAAAGATATCGGCCTTGCTTTCCTTCAGCATGTTCAGCACCTCCTGGAGAGCAGAGGATCACAAAGCACTTAGGATTATGATCAAAATAGAAACCCAAGTTGTTCTCGAGCCAATGAAAACCAAAGCATTTGGGGTTTAACCATGAATAGGAAGGCCAAGTGCAGACACTGGTGAAGTATGAACAGCGCTCATCCAGGAAGGTGGCTTCTGGATGTGGCACCAGCTGGTAGTTAAAATTAATGTGAAATGGAACCCTTCTCAGGCTACTACTGGGGTGGCACAACTGTTGCTGCATCTCAACAATGCCTTAAAAAGGGAAGAGGGGAGTAAATGGGCCAATTCCAGGTGAAAAGAAGGGCAGGGAGAGACCTGAATCAAAATAAAATAACTACCTGGCACCCCTAAAGATGCAATTTAAAACTACAATACTGATTCTCGATGCTTCCTAAAGGCAGACAAATGCCTACAGACTCTGAGATGCATCCATTCCCTTTGAAGACATGGGTCTATGCTTTTATCTCCAATCCACTACATGTCCATTAAGACTGCACCAGGACCACTCACCTTTTTGCACATCTCTGTTTTAATTTTGAGCAAATTCACTTTCAGACACTCTTCCACTTGCCCTGTCTGCTCCTGGGCTGCAGCCTCTTCTGCACACAAGCTAAAAATCTGTTAGGAATAAAGCATGTTAGGACGTAGCCTCCACACTACAGGACAACCTAGCAAAGTTCAAATGTTTATAAAGGAGAACAGATGCATGTAACATGCAAATAAGATTTCCAAGTGTGGCAACCAACAAAGAGGAACGAATGTCATCCCACTGTTAATGACAAGTGGATGACAACATACCCTATTTCTGCTCAAAATAGTTTATCCTTATATTTCTGAGCCAAGGGATAAAGTGCCACTATATTTAAGGGCAGAAACTTTAACTGAGGAATGCTGCCTAAGACTGAATTTAGAAACCAGTCATTTAAGATGATACCTGCCTTGATAATAATAGGTTTGCAAACCTCATGGAACGGGAGCTGCTCAGTGACTGAAAAGGAGTCAGCAGTGTGCTATAGCTATTAGAAAGGCAAATGTGATTTTAGATTACATCAATAGAAGCAGAGTTTCCAAATATGGGAAATAATATTTCCAATATATTCTGCATCAGTCAGTCCTCAAGTACGATGCCCAATTCTGGGTGCCACATTTTTAATAAGATTCAGAGAAAATGGAACAGGTTCACGAACGAACATGGATCTGCCAGGGACTGGGAGAAAAGCTTATGGAGAAAGACTGAGGGAGCTGGGTCTGGTTAAACTTAAGATGGTGGGGGGGGGGGGGCTAGGAGGAATGACAGCCCTTTTCAAATACTTGAAAATGTGGCATAAAGAAATTCTTTGTTGTTCTGGGGAAACGGGACGCAGAAAGGGAGGCCTACGGTAACTCCTTCTTCCTAATAGTTTCCCCATCACTGTACATGTTTAGGCAGAGACCAGACAGCTGTTTGTATGGGATGCTTTGATTTGGATTCTTGCACTGAGCAGGGGGTGGGACTTGATGGTTGCAATGGCCTCTTCCAATTCTATGGCTCTAAGTATTCGCGAGTTCAGATTTTCTCACAGGTGCCATGGAAAGACCCTGAGAGCTCTTGTAGGGAGACCTCCTGCAGCTCTAGACAGCCACACTTCAGAGAGGGTTGCTCCAGAATTCTCCCCAAGGGCTCAAGGGGTTGTTTTTGACAGAAGACAGAGAAGCAGAGAGTATAAAACGAGCAGACAGCAACAGCAACAACACCCAAAATACACTGGCTGGCAACTGTATTTTCCCTGCAGTAGAATGGTATTAAACAGCAGGAATTCCAGCTTTTAGGTTTTCTGTTTCTTCCAAAATGCATAAGGCAGAGTTATTTTCAGAGATCTTAAACTGCAGAAAGACAACATGGGGAACCAGACTCCACTAACTTCAAGAAAAAGGCTGCCAGAAGAAAGGAACTTAATGAACAACCTGGATTTTAGTTAATACCAGAGGAGGACGGACAGTTCTGGTATAGGATACTAAACTGGGTTTTCCACAATGTTTTGCTCCACTCGCAAACGTACTTCCTGTAAATTATGGCAAGTACTGTAAAGGGATTCAGACATTTACACCACCAGTTCATGACTCATATTATTTAAATTATATTGTTAAGAGTTATAAGAACTTGTCAGCATATTCTGGGGGAAGTAGGACAGAATCTGGAAGCTCCCACCTCATCTGAGCAGTGCATTTGCAACTGAGGATCTAACCGGTAATCCAGAGCAGATTCCTCAATAATCACTCGAATTTGATCTTCACAGTCTGAAGAAAGACGCTGTTCAGAAACAAAGACAATAACTGTCATGCAGGAGAGGAACCAAGCCTGACATCATTCTCAAAATCTGACTCGCCATGCTGCTGAACGAAGATAACAGTTGGGCAGTCACTGGTATGCAGCCTTGCAAAATAAAAATCCTCTCAGAGCTGTTTACAAGCTATCTAAACAGCTGTAAAACAAGACACATTGTTCAAAAGCAAGCTATCTTCATGGGCGGTTGGTGGGATGGCTAGACCTGCCTTCTCACCTCTGCTTTTTTGGTCTGTCTGTTTCTGTAAAGCCACAATTCCAGCTTCGTTTTGCCTTTTCAGCACCATGAGAAGGAGGAGGAGGAGGAACACCCAACCCTGTCTCCAAACCAACAAATGGCTTCCTACTCTTGCAGTTTGCATAATCAATCTCAGGTTTTGTTGGGCTTACGGAGAACCTGGTCAGACTCTTCATCCAGCTAACTTCTCAGGTAAAGCCTTCAAGCCCACAACCATATTGCATTGTTAATTTCATGGCTAGGCAGTTGGACTGCACAGGTTCATGCAGTTTTGAAGCCTGCTTGGTGACCCAGACCAGTAATCACTACCAATTTAGGATTCATGTGACAGAAAAATAGGGAAGAAAAGCATGTATGCTGCTTTGCATTCCAGGAGGAAAAGTGGTATATAAATGTAGGAAGCAAAATAACTGCAAAGGTGCACTTTGAGATTATACATGCTAACTTATTCAAATATGCAAAATCAAATTTCAGTCAATTTAGGGCACTGGAGAATTTTCCAGAAACCTCATCACAAATTTTAAATTTCTAGTATAGGAAAAAAAGAATTCTGCTTTCCTGAATTTTAAATACATGTCTTTGTGAGTATGAGATTAGCCCTGATCTGATTCTATCCAGATTGTTGATCAAACTGCTTTCAAATCAAGTTTCTGGATCAAACTCAGTTGCCAAACTAGCAAGTCAGTGAAAGTACATTCCACATCAGCCTTTCCTTTTCTGCATGCTCAATGGATCTCCATTCTCCAAATTCTTAACAATGGCCAAACTGATAAGGAATTGTAGAAGTTAGCTCACACATCTGGAAGGCATTCAGATTGGAGAAGGCTGTTCTCAAGCCCCTTACCTGCGACACACAATCAAGGACGATGCAAGATTCACACAGACTTTCTTTAAGGAGTTTTCATACCAGGAGTTAAAAGATAAGAACCCGCCAACTTAGTGAGCCTATTAAGGCAGGGTCTCCTCCTTGATCTCCTTTTCCTGGCAGGTTTGTATGACAGACTAAGAGTCTGTTTATCTGATAAGCTTGTAATGGGATCCTCCCACTTTGTGTTGAGATACTTCTCTTTCTTTCTCAACCTCTGCACAATCTCTTACAGCTGCTCTACAGAAGTGGACAAGGTGTTCTGTAGTCTTCCCTGCCTCTGTTCTGGCCAATACATGTGAACCATCATTACCTGGTCTGCATATTTCAGTTTCAGGCAGGATATGACCTGCCCTTCCAGCTCTGAGTCGTCCTTGGCTTTACTCAGAATGTTCTGGCAGAATTTGGGGATGTCTGCTTTGCATGCCTTCCTGAGCACTGGATTCAGACGGTAATCTACCAGACAGAAAAAGAAATTAAATTAAGGCTTTAAGAGCCACAGGGAAGAGACATCTCTGCAGATCTGTGTTGGGTTTACAAAGCAGCCTACTAGTGGAGTTCCATCTGAATGTTCTCTAATGTAGTAAATTACAAGGGTTAACTGAAAGGGTTAACTGAATACAATTCCTAGACCCTTAGCAACTTCATTCTTAAGCAGCAAATTTAGAGATTATGATCACCAAAAAATGCTTCAAACACTGCAGACAATGCTTGCTAAAACCTCAAAAGCCAGAGGTAATGGTTGAATAAGGTATTCTTTGGTTAAATGAGAATTCAAAAGTACCATGATTCTATATTGAGCAAGATGACTCTATATGCTCCCCCCAGATCTTTTCAACTTAAATTACATAATTCAATGGCTTTTTCCACTGCGGGTCTTTTAAGGTGTGGCTATTTCCCATTCAGTATGATCCAGGACAAAAATGAAAGAAAAAGCATTATTTTAACAAAGAACAAACAGTTCCCATAATTTCAGCCATCCCAATTGGGCAATCCAATAGATGTCTTGCTGGAGAAAGTTGTTTTGGCTATCTAATGCAGAGTTCCGCAAATCTCAATCTCTCTCTCGTGTTTCTTTTGGGGTTGCATGTTCAGTTTTTATTGAATTAATCTCTTTGGCTATGCCAACGTCCCTCCCAGCCGTGGTAGCTATGAGATTCTTTCAACCAGCCAAAGTCCAAATTTGGGACTTTCCGTAAGTCAGGTAAATTCTTCGCTGAGCTACAAAATTTCCTCTGCAGTTCAAATATATTTAGTAACATGCAATCAAGTCCTTCTGCAAATTCAATTGTAACATTTCAGTTAACTTTGAAATGCTCCATATGGAGATGGCAGGCTACTGAACCTTATGGAAAATTTCACTTGGAAGGAACCTGGCATACTATAGATTTGAGTGGACATAAAAGGCATACACTACAGGGAAAGCAAGCATGACCTTCTGCCCAGACAGGCTGTGTGGGTGGAGTAGTTTCAAATGCAGAGAGGTGGCTAGAAATCAGAGCACTCAGTACTGCACAGTAGATGCAAACAACAAGCAAAATCAATACCCTCCAGTACAAGAAACCAGAGGAATGTGTGTGATTGGTGATCCAGGAAAAGTGTGAGCTCCTTGCTTCACTTCAAAACCCCAAACACAACTTGTCCTGCCTAGCTAATAAAATCCAAGTCCTCGAGGACAGGCCGTTCTGTTCCTGCCTCCTTGTTCCAAGCAGCCACAGACCATTACCTGTGTTCTGGGTAATCTGGCGCTTTGTGATCATTTGCTTGCATTTGGGATCCATCACCTCGCTGTTTTTGTTCTGTTTCAAACACTGCAGCATGTTCTTCGCATCTGCTTCTGGGCAGAACCTCTGCCAAAAGAGACAGAGAAGCAACAACTCAGCAAGGGGATGCAGAAACTTCTCCCATCCTTTGTCTTCTATTCTGAGTAAGAAGCAGTGGGGAAAAGCAAAGCCAGGCAGGATGGAGAACTACTTGCTTGGACCATCAACAAGTCCCATCCTTCTTCTCCAAGGCCCAGACCGCAGCACATGGAAAATCTGGACCTTCCTGAAATGTCTGTCCCCACGTGTGTCCTCACTGACAAGATGGTGCACTGTTTGAGAACCATCTCTATTGGAGAAAGCTCCCTAGAGAGAATGACCTTCTTAGAAACAGAAACTCCATTGCCTGAGTGATCCTACCACATGCAACCACTGCAAACCTCACACAGAGTGTCAGGGGACTCTATTTTGAGATTTCTGACGGGACCAGAAATACAGGCATGAGCTCTGGAAGTGTGTTTCAGAAGCGCGCGCACACACACACTCTTTTTTTTTTTTTGGTGCCTTCGAGTCAGTGTTGACTCCTGGCCTTATGCTATTTTGTTCTTTTTTTCATACATTTTTCCCCTTATATATCCAGCAGGAATAGCCCAAACATCTGATAGTGCCCCAGAATCTGCCCCAGACACCACATACGAAAGAGATTTGGGTGCACAATCTGATGTACTGCAAAGCTTAATTTCATACAGCGTGCAATTCTTTATTCATTTTCCAAAGTTCCTGGAGGGCAAGGCTTTTATAAGGCCCAACCCCAATGGCATTAAAGAGCACACAATCTTTACAGTCCTTCAGAACTCTTCATCAGGCCCACTGGTACCAAGACAAAGAATTCTGTAGCAGCTTGCTTAAGGAGGCGTTTTGGAGGACTTGAAAGCTTGATTTCTTAGGGACACTGGATTCTTTTTTCTCACAAACCAAAACTGCAACAGCTCAGCAGTCAGTACACTGGAGGGATGGATGAGGGTATAGAGCATTCTGAGTCTTGCACTTCCCATCCCATAACCCCACCTGGTAGGCCCTTCAGGGGGCTTCTTCACTCTGCAGCTTAGACAGCCAGCCCTGAATAAGATTTTATATAAATTATTGTGCATTACACACAAAACAATGTGGCTACTGCAGATTTCTCACCCATTTTCTGGCCCTTTGGCTGCATTCAGCAGTATTATTCATCAAGGAAGGCAAGAATTCATGTCGGGGTTGTAGCACAGAAGACTGAAAAGCACATTTGACAATTTCTGATCGGGAGGAGAAAACATTTTCTGCGAACCCTATCAAATCAGGTTAGAACAACTGTTTAGCTTAGTGACATGTCAAGTTTTCTACCTCTCTCTCCAAATGTAGTCCAAGACTTAGCTATGTGCCCGTGGCAAGAACTGGCCATCTTTACCTTGATCATCTGTTTGCAGACTCGCATGAGGGTATAATCCAGTTCTGGGTCCATCATCTCTGTCTCTTGGAGTTTGAAGACTTTTTGATGGCAGCGGCTGCTTAGCTGCTTCTTGTTTTCCTTCAAACACTCAATTATCTGCAGTTAGAGGACATGACTGAGAAGACCCTGAGAATCACTGGCTATAAGAAGGCAGCACTGCTGAAACAGATCTGGAGTTTTGTGAAAGACTACACTGTTCAGTCAAAATGCATTTGGATAAAAAGAAAGACAATTATGTTAAGCAGCATCTCATCACAGACCAACCTAAGAGTGGCCCTTGCAAGGCCCCACCTAAAAGAACCTGTTTCACAGATTGCATTCTTAGAGTTTTAATGGCAAAAAGTTTAGGTTGAAGGTAAGCAAAACTGTAATTTAAGAGGCAAGAAAGAATGTGAAATGGAGCCATTTCTACCACAAACATGGTAACTTAAAAATGAATGTTTTCAACAACTGGTTGTCATAGAAGCACTGATTACAAAGTGCTCCAGAATACTGCAGAAAACTGAGAGGCCAAGTATGCTCGAACCACATCCCTTCTTCTCAAGCAGAAACATCCAGAGAGACAAGCAAGGTAACATATCTTCAGCTCTGGCTTCGTTCCAGAAAGTAACAAAAAGGGCTAAGGCAAAAACTAAGTCTGGTTTATATTTCAAGTTAATTAAAATTAAATATAGTTACCATAAATGCACTGTAGTCATTTTTAAAATACTTTATCCTATCACAGATTGTAAAAGCTGCAATCTGATAGCATCTTCTGAGGCTTTGAGAACCACACCCAAAACTTATGAGGATGGCATGCAGATGTGGGGCTCTGGATTAGCCTAACAGTAGATTAGCCTGTCTCACTAGGGCTCAAATCCCACTCAGACACCACTACTTAGGTGGGTGGCTACAAAATGTATGAGGAGTGGAGACCAGAGACATTCCACCTTGGAGAAAATGTTATGAATGTGTACAGAAATGCATGTGAATAAATCTATATAAGCCTATCACCTGGGCATTGCCATAGGGAACATTCTGGCAGTAGTTCTTGATGTCAGGTTTACATGCTTCATGAAGATCTGGTTCCAGACGGATATCCTCAGTCTGCAAGACAAATTCAGATTCAAAGAGGACTTTAAAATAGGAGCAGCAAGTGAAACCCAGCGAGGTGTCAGCTTTTTTATTAAGACCAAACAAAAGTCATAAAACACTCTGCAAGCTTTAAGGTTCTCCAAAACTCTTTAACTGATTCCAAGTTAAGCAGGAGGGTTGGCATGAATTGAAAGCACAACATTTGTACTCAGACCCAGTCTTAAGACGCAGTGTAAAAGGAACCTTTAGGATCAAGCTCTCTTCAGCTGTCTTCTAGCAGCAGTCTGGGTTGGGCCCAAACCTTGCCTCAAAAACCTGGCAAGAAAAGGTTTTGAGGTTCTAATGACTGCAGAGATCAGGATCAGCAAGACCAGTGGTATCCTAGGCACTAGCCTTACTCACAGAGACTGCCTTCTTGTGGTAAGGTGCCAGCACTGGACTATACAGGCAGTCCCAGGTGGGTTAAGAACGCCTGGCTAAGGGCGACCCAGAGTTAAAAACGGAGCCTATTGTAGCAAAATTCCAGTTAAACATAAAATGGTTCGAGTTCATTACACAATATTACTTACACAGTATTATACAATAATACTGCTCTGGCTTATAGACAAATTTGACTTAAGGACAGACCTTGGGAACAAACTCGTTCTTAAACTGGGGACTATCTGTAAACCATTGCAGAGAATAATTAGGGGAAAGCACATTAACAATGAGTGGCAGTCAATATTTTTAACTGGTGTTCCACTGGATCCCCTGAGAAACCTGTGCAAGACAGAGAGCAGCCAGGCACTTTTACCATTTCCAACTCCTCCACACGTAGCTGTTTGCGGCATTTCACGGAGACCCTGTGCTCTTTGGCATCCTGCAGGGTGTCATTGCGCACCGTGGTACTCAGGCAGATCACCACATCCACCCTGAAGAAGAAAGAAGCATTATGTCTCCCTGCAGAAAGACCATCCAGGTTGCCCAAAGCTACAGGGGAAAACCATATACGTACTTCTTCTTGATATTGGGACACAACTTCAACACATCTTCCTTGCAGGCCATTTTAAATTTGTAGGAGAACCTGAAATCCTTCATTTGAATCTGAAGAAAGAAAAACGAGCAGAGTATCAAAGGCCTCAACTCCCCTGAATGGCTCCTCCACCACTATTTGCTCATTCCAGGATAAGTCAACTCCAACTCGAGCTGTAAGAGCAGAGTTAGGTATACCCCCCCATACAAAGCTGCTTGATAACAAAGTATTTAATTACTGGCTGAAGATCCTATCTATGGACTCAGAAAGATTACCTAAGCTTTGTTTTGAAGAACAGATGCACAACAAGCCTTCTCATGCTTGGGCGTCCTGACTTATGTGGATCCCAATGTGGATTTTCAATTCACTTCCCAGTTCAATCAGACTCGAAGGCCAAA